TGAGGCTTCAATATTGCACCTGGGGCTACTGGTGTCAAGCAAGCAAACAGTAAAAATCAGGGGACTGAACAAGGATTACTACAGGAGGATCATGAAAAAGAAATGAATGTAGAGTAATAGTTCAGTTTAGTACACTTCTGACATTGCCACTGCTCTTCCAAGTCATACATTTCTAGTCTATATTTTTATCATGTTTCTTTCCACAGGATACTTCCTTGGAAACTTGGGAAACTTTTCACTAGCAACAAGGGGAGATCAGGCATTAATGTGGAGTTAGGATGGAGCTTTTCAAGCAACATCCCTATTTCCGCTTGCAAGCACTTACTCATATCTTCAACATTGTGGACTTTTTCCAACAGAGATTATGCTCATCTTACAGTCTACAAAGTGTAATATATTTTTTAGATTTCTTTCAGAAAAATGGTCAGCATATCCTTCAAAGAATAAATGGACAAGGAGTGGAATGCACTGTCTGATTTTCCCCCTAGTAACAGCAAAAGTCCTGGATTTGTAAACTAAATTCTGTCTCTCAGGAAGATGAAATATGTAATTCTGAGAGCTTCAAAAATAAGCAAAACCTGGATTCTGATACACCTGTGCTTTGAGGATGATGGGATTTGGAGACCGTGAAAGAGATCTGAGGTTTTTTTCTATGGGAGGATAACTTAGGGCTGACACTGATGTTCAGCAAAATGAAGCATTTCCTTTTAGTCCAGGGACTCATATAAATGCAGATGTTTTCCTACAAGTTAATTACTTCTAGACTTTGACGCTTTGTGAAACTTCTTTGCAACCAACCACTGGCTTACGAACAGAAACACTGCATATGCACATTCACATGCACCCACGGACCAGCACGTATTCAATACAACTGCTAAAGCTTTGTTTCTCCAAGAACCAGTTCTCAGAAGCACACAGACTTAGGCTGCCTCAATCTGAAGATGAAAAAGCAGAAGTATACCAAATGTTTGCTAAATGATCCCAAACATGTTTCAGAATAGAATATTTATTTTTCTATTTCTCTGACAATCTTCAAAACATATTTTAAAAGGCTACATAAGCATTTTTTATAGTTGTAGTTTCTTTCATTCATAAAATTTAGTGGTTTAAATCCCATACACTTGATTCATCCTTTTATACAAGAAAAACTTGCAATGAACTTGTGATTTTTCAGGGTCTGCACCACTGGGCTGTTTTCAGTTTAAACAGCTGTGTTGTTAAAATTTCTTTTTATATAGGACTTGAGGGTACCCATTTGCTTCAGAATTAAGAGCTAAGCACCTGCAAATGTTCAGCTAACCAGATTGTTAATGGCTATGTTTGCTTTATACTTTCTTATATAAAAAGTTCTTCCTCAAGTGGAATGGTTCAAAGGTTCACATTATTTTCCCAGCATTTCTTAGGTTACTCCCTTTATTTCTACCTCTCCTCACTGTCCAAAGATATTACTGATAAAGGTTTGAACACCCCATGTTATCTCTTGTATTCTCTGAAATCAGTGCTGAATGTTTTCTTCAAAGGTGGCCAGCAAAAACTGAGCTTGCTTTACAGCAAAATCATCAGTAATAACCTTACGTTTGTAATAAATTGAAATGCAGTGTAAAAATTGTTACAAAATGCAACACCTTAGCATTGTTATTTTTGATACTTAAGATCAGTATTTGGTTTTGTTAGTTCTTTTTTATGTGCTTGAAATTCTCCACTGGTTAAGTTACTTTTGCTTTCACCTCTCCTGATATTTCTATACAGTTCATCTGAATCCCCAAATTCCCTTAAAATTGTCCTTAGATAAAATTAGAAGCTTAGCTGCTTGATAAATCAGAGCATTCCTCTGTAAACATTCAATGTTAGCACTTCTGTCATCTGATTTCTGAGTGGAATTTAATGTATCAGCTGTGAATAGCTTATGACCTGTCCCAAATGTGGGATTCATCTAACTAAATGCAGATGCAGCTGAGCTGGTCCCTCATTATAGTCAACAGAGAGCACAGAATCACAGAATGGTTTGGGCTGGGGGGGACCTTAAAGACGATCTAGTTTCAATGCCCTGCTACGGACAGAGACACCTTCCACTGGACATGGTTCATCAAAACCCTGTCCAAAAGGAGATGAATGAGAAATTTCAGAGTTCACTCACCTCATGCCAAAGTAGATATATAGGTTGCCTGCATTGCAACCAAACTTCTGTATTTTTCTCCACATAAAAGAGACAAAAAAAGACAAATTGCCCATTTTCTTCCATTATCTTTTGTGACCTTAGCCTGATTAGCTCAGACATTCATGCCTATGAGAACCAAACTCTTGAGTTCAGATTGCCATAAGGAGAGACCACCTTTTCTTCCTCTGAAACATGACTGAATTTTTACTGAAGCTTCTCCTTGATCATGCTCCTCTCAAGTGAAGGCTCTTGTGGCCTGTAAATGGCCAAAACTTTGGACTTTTCTAGTCTCTTGGGAAATAGTCTGAACATGCTACAAACTCATCAGTTCCTGTGGAACTGTGAGAGGGTCAAGAAATTTCTAGAAATCCATTTCCTAAAACACAATCTATGACCTTGATGTCTCAATCAAGGGTAAAGCGAATTATTAAAAGAATATCCAGTTCAGATGTTCTTTTACTGATCACCTGCTTGACTTTGGTTCATCCATAGAACATAAATGCTTTTCTGCTGACACTGTGTAGGACTGTCAATGAATATACAGTATTATCAACAGCTACAATTGTTCATGAGCATGCCTATTTACAAAGATAACTTTGGGGTTAAACACTTGTTTTTTGTCTCACATCCACATACATGACGCCTGTGTCAGACATTACCTTCTCCTTAGGCTGATAATGCTCAGAGCAGCTGATGTGTACCCAAAAGATTTGCCAGCTTGGAAAGAACTGGAAACATGTAGAACTTCTCAGATAGCCTACATGTTTGGAGGATGCCATTAACCAGTTTTGGCATATGGGCTAAACATAGCAGCGTTCAGTAATACACCATTCAGAATGAAAATGGGAACACTGAGGATGATGCTGCATGTCAGCACACATGACAAGAAGGCAAAGGTCACGTTGCAAGGCAAAGACTATGAGCAGCAAGGCAGGTGACGCCAGCTCTGATTATAGCATCCTCACATTCAGGACTGACATATTGATCAAAGGTGGATTTGACAGACAGCCACACATCGCAGGAAGCAGTTCTTTGCATGGGAATGAAGTTCAGAGTGCTGTTAAAAAGGGGCTGTTAGTCTCACTCTTGAAACATAGGCTCAGTTTACTGAAAAACTGAAGAGGGAAGAAGTCCGTAAAATCCAACAACAGTGCTTATACCAAATGATATACTACTAAGATGATGTTCAGGAAAAACAGGGTTTTTCTTACTTTCTTACTTACAAATTAATATGAGCACACCTTCTATTCCTCCCACACTCCCCAAAAATACCTGCAGCATGAAATCAGTCATTGTAGGAAAAAAAAACCAGCAAATCTATGGAAGAACACAAGCTTATCAACTATTTATTAAAATCCACCATTAAAATTGCATTTGAATTAAGCAGAGTTAAACAATTAGCAAAACAATCAAATGACTCCAAACTATGGAAAATCCTGAAAGGAAACCTCCATAAATCTAATAGGCAATTTCTAAAAATTCAGCTGGCCTACTGCATTAAATATAAACAGTGATCACAAAGCCAAACTGGTGAAAACCCCTCCCCTAAAACTTCTGAATAAGTCCGAGTTACTAGTAACTTGATTAAAACCACTAGTACTTGAAACTCTGCTGTAGACCTATATAAAGTTTAAAATCTTATAGTTTTTTTGTAAGAATTCCTTGACATTGTTTCTGAGCATTTTAAGACTTACAGCTTATAGTTTCTCTGATCTCTATTGATGCTGTTAATTGCCTGAATTTAAGACTGCATAAATACTTTTTACAATTAGTTCATTTTAATTACTTGAAAGTAAAATGAACACCCATAAAAGGCAAATAATTGAACATTTAATTATGGAAATTTGCTATTGATTACTAAAATTTGCTTTCAGAATGGGCATGTTCTTTTGCTACTTGCAATTACTGTAATTAAGGTTTTCACATGTTAATTAGAATTGTTTTGGCATGGCAAATTCCACTCCTCTCTGTCTCTCAAAGTAGGTAATCGCACACTTCTTTTTCTTTTTTTTTTCCGTATATCTAGTATATGTACACAAGGAAAAGGACTTCCCAGATTTCATTCAAATTAAGAAGGGGCATAATTCTATCAAGTCAAAATAAGCATAAAAACAATACAGACTTTTTTTTTTTAAAGCATTAAATATCTCAGACAGAAACAGGAAAATTGAAACATTAATGACAAATGTCAGTAAAATAATGAAAATACTTAGGGACAAATAAGATTTCTGTAATCACAGTATGACAAAAAAAAAAAATTAAAGAAATAACTAACCTTGTTTTAACCTAAAGCGTGAGAAACAACGTAACCTAACCTGAAAAAAAATACACTGGATTGTTTGCCAGTGAATAGCTTATATACCAGGTAATGCTGTTCTCATTCTTATTTTAATTGTGCCAATGGTCTTATCTTTTGTAGCCCCTCCAATTTATGTATTTTAAGTATTTCTCAGGAAGCTTGCTGGAGATGGGAGGTAGAATGCCATCAGCCTGAGAGTTTCACTCTCTGAGAGATGCAGCAAACTGTAAGCTAGTGAAACTCTGCCCATCTTAAATTAAAATGAGAAACTCACAAGCCCTGGGACTGAATATGGCCGGCAACTTTACTGAATGTCACTTGGGATCATATAGTTTTTTCCTTCTATATTACTTCTGACTAGCACTCAGCTAGGCTTTAATTTATGGCCTAGCAGTGTATCTGAAAGAGCTATCTGGCCCTCAGTAAAGGAGACAATATTCCAGGTTTAATTGAGTACATAAAATTCTACTTTGTGCCCTCTTGAGTCTTCCATGGAAACTGTGGCTCACCAAGGTAGACAGTAACTGTTAGGAGCATACTTACTGCATTGAAATTGGGGAAGAGATTGACTGCTGCGGCAGTGTCCAGAGGAAATGGAAGAAATGGTTTAATATCCAGCGACGGCTGCAAAGGTGGAGCAGGAGGACGCACTAGGGCTGGAAGAGCAGGGCTCTGGCATGTACCACCTATGTGTAGAAAGAGACAGAAGCATTCAGCAAGTACTGTGATTAAGGGGAAGAAGAAAAGAGCCAACCCCAAAAAGCAACAATAAAAAGCCAATACTGGATTAAAGAAATACATTTTTATTTGACCACAAATTACGCCATTACTGAAAAACAGCACAGTTGCCTCAGTGACGGTTGTAATTTTTTGCCAGTAATTGCCTCAGGTATCAGTCTACTATTATTTAAAATTAATAAACAATTTCCCTCCCTGGATTATCTGGAATAATATAGTTCAGTGTATGTCTGACTTCCTTTTACAACTTCAGCTAGTCCCATTCTTCTATGATTTCAGTGTTTCATCCCAACCCTATTGCTCAACCCTCCAAAGCCTTACATCTTCAGAGTCAACCTAAACCTCACAAACACGACATACCTTGCTGCCTCAACAGCTGATCAATACAAATCTAAATTCAGAACAGTTTCAGCAGCCACAGTCCTGCTTATGGGAAGGTACCGATAAACATTTACTGCTCTTGCAAGGGATGGAGCCGATTCAGGCTCTGTGCAGCAGAAAGTTCCTGCTGGCTAATGGTACCAACCATTAGCTCTGTGGGAACATGATGCAAATGAAGAAATCCTCTTGCATACCAATAGGTCACTACCTGTTTGCAGTGGACCCTATTTTACTTATTTGTCTGTTCCTTGCCACAGCCAGCTAGAAACTGTAAAGATCCAAGACTGTTCTCTTGCTTCCAATGTCTCCCATGTTTTGGTTGCACTCCAAAACATCAATTCCCCGTTAATTAAAGACTACTTGGATCCTAGGAAACTGTTAAAATATGTCGGTGTTCTTCTAAACTGAGAGGCAGGCAGCAGACTGTAAAAACCTGCTTGTAAGAATACAAGAAACATTTTAAAACAAAAAAAAAAGGGGGGGAGTTTTACAGTACTGACTGAACAGAGACACAGGCAGACAGACCAACAGAGGGAAGAGAGCCAGAATCTTTTTCTTTTTCTTTCATGCATACAGACACTTCATTAGACAAGCTGCATACATTCTTTAAAAGACCAGATACAGTCAGAATGATATACAGAATCTCTGTGTATTTGGCCAGCAAATCTGCTAACAAGGTTTGCCATTAAATATGTCTAAATGAGGGTTAACAGCACAGGATTTAATTAAACAGTTGTAACAGATCATCCACAGTTCTGCTTCTAGATATAAAATCAGTTGGAGCCAAATTTTCAAAGACTGTTTTTTGCCAAATTTCAGGTCCTGTGTGAAAGATTTCACTAAAAATCATTGAAAGGAAAACATTATCCACTAGTAAACTAAAGGTATTGGATGAGGGTTCGCTCCAAGCTCACGGTAGGTTTTACCATAGAGTAACTGCTATTTTTGGACTAATTTTTACATTTTCCTCAATTTGAAAGTGTAGCAAATCACTCTTTGAATGCAGCAGCTAAGGATATGAGCAACAGAAAAGCAGAGAGCAAGCAGCTCTGCTTTCCATAGCTCACCATCATAGAATCAAGTATTTAATGATTGCGATTAGATTGGCAATTGCTACATTCCCATGGACTTATTACAAAACCAGCAAAAAAATAAATTGAACAGGTCAGAATGACGATAGGGTAGTGTGGAACATGCCAATCTTATTCTCTCTGAATAGGAAAGACCAAGGAAGTCATTTTTTTAGATGCTGGAAATATTTTTTCTCTCACATATAATGAAGGGAAGAAATCTCTCCTACTAATATAAACCTCAATAAGTGTCTGAGTTGCACCTGAGATTGTACAGAATCACAGAAATGCCAAGGTGAGCATTTGCCTGGTAATAGCGAAGAATCTGAAGCAGGTTAAATATCCTACAGCTCACAGATGAAAATGCAGACTAGACTGAGAAATATCATCTGTGCTTGGGGACCCAGCTCATTGAGTGTATCATCTCCATGCTATGGAGGAAAGACTCATAGGTTTGGATTACCTAGAGCATCAGCAGTGCTATCCCATTCTCTCCTAGGATACCATGCTATGAAGGATAAAATATTTCCATTCTGTGATCCTTCCCTGTGGCATGACTAGGCGCTCACACACCTGCCACTGCCAACCAGGGCTGCACAAAGTCATCTGGGGACAAGAACACACTGTAAATGGAAAAATTCAGCCAACTCTGCAGGACCTTGGCTGGAACTCACAGCCCCTGGAACGGAGTTTAAAATCTACCACAGTCCTGGCTAGAGTGGCACAGAAAATGAGTATGTTCAGAAGCACAGCTGCTCTCTGTTTTCTCTGTTTTTGCAATAGTGTCAGACATGTCCCTGAACGATGGAGCACATGATAGGTACCATGAAATCTGAGCTTTTGCTTGAAAGAAATTCTCTAATGTTTATAGCTGCAAAACTTAGCACTTCTTTCCATTGAACATGAGCAGAGATGTAGCCTAGAATTGGCAACAGAAAACCTGAAGCAATGGCAACTGCTTTTGTGACTCAGCTTAACTGAAAATACCTTTGGACAACATTGGGAATGTCAGTGTTAACTACTTCCATTCTAACACATTAGCAGAGAGATGGGGAGGGATAGAATCCCACAGGGAAAGGTTCTTGAAAAGCACACGTAGATAAATTCTTATCATAAAGAAGGCAATATAAAGGGCAGAAATGATGATAGGATGAAACATGATACCCAAGAAAGTCAAACTGAAGGTAAAGTAAGAGGGATGCACTAAACCTAATAAAGGGGAATTAACTTTGAAAATAAGTGGTGCTATGTGTGACGACAGCATGCTTAGAAAATTACTACAGCAGAACATACATCTTTTTTAGTTATCTAGTATTACGGAACACTGGATCGAGGTGAGCGATCATGAGGATTGCTTATGACTGTTTCGGTGTTACATATGCTAAGCTTCTACAGAAAGACCTTCACAGCTTTCCCTGTGCAGATGCAACAATGCTGATCAACATACAATGAAGATTCAATATCAGCCTTTTTGCAGTCTTCCAACCAGCAAGGCCTGGAGTTCCACTCTGACCAATAAAGACAGGGTAACAACCCACACCACTGACAGACTTTGTCCACAGCCTGTGCTTGATGCTCTGAACCTGAAGTTCAATGTACATCCTTGCCAAACCTAGGTGCATGCATGGCCTGGCTTAAGATATATAACTGTCTCCACAAAATGTAGGCCAGTACAGGCCCGAAGTTACATTTTATGAGTAGCATGCTACAATTACCTAAAATAGGAGAATACTAACATATTTACTAATTCCAGTATCACAAATTAGTGATGTTACAGTCTAATTTCTTTCTAAAGAGGAAGAATTTTTTGCAGCACGTTCAGATCTTAAATGCAAGATCAATGTTGTAGATATTTGAGAATTTTTTTTTTTTCAGGAAATATACGAATAACGTAATACAATGTAGAAGCTTCATTACCTCAGCATTTTAACCAAGACTGAAGTAATCATTCATTTCTTCAGTTTTCAGGCAATTTAAATCACAGACAAGATAAACTCTTGGCCAGAGGCACTGGGTATGCACCCAAGGTAATCGTGAGCAAACAAATCTGAAGAAAAGCTTTCTACAGACCTTTGCCCCTTCCTATATCTCATCGAGACAGTTTTTGAGAACTCCCCTAGTGTCAATCAAGTCGCATTTTTACACATGGATGCACTTCTGTATCTCCACTTGGAACTAGACATTTTGCCCTACCACTAGGTAATCTGTTCTGCAATACAGCATTATGCTTTGAGCACAGACAGCCTACGTGGTACAAAGCCATGTGTGCAACATGAGGTTCATACTCTGTTGCATAGCCTGTTCAGGCAGTTCTTCAGAAACCTGGTATGACATAATGACATGAACTTCATCACTGCAACACCTTCCTTGCCTGTATCCAGAACCAAGGAAAGACAACATAAACATTCAGATGAAGAGATGATTCATGCAGGTTCAGCCACAAACTGTTCATTCCACAGTCATTTTTTTTTTTTTTTTTGAGTTGGAATATAAATAAATATCGTTTTTCCCTCATCCGCAGTTTTGACATCAGAGACCATGTTTCACTACGGAAATGAAAATACATTTTAAAATGAGAAGTAATTCCAAAAAGAAGAAACCAGATTTCTTTAAAAATGCTGATGTTTTGGCCTTAAAGACATTTCTGTCAGAATTCCTTACAAAAAAAATAACACCTTCTGTGAGAATTTTTTGCTTTCAATGAAATAGCATTTTCTGATAAGAAAGTCTCCCATGCAAATAAAGAGACATAAGAGAGCAGAGTTGTTTTTATATACAGGACAATATACAATAAGTTTTCTTAGTGTTTCTGGAGGAAGTTAACATCCTTGTCCCTCAGGTCCCCTAACACACAACCCAACAATTTGGAACCACTTATTGCTATATTTCGTGACTTGGCTATAGAGAAAGATATGCTGCATCTTCCCCTGCACAGCCTTTCCTCATGCACACTCATTCCCAAACCTTTAAACTCAACTGCAGATTTAGTTTCCAGAAAAAGAATCACCAGTTCTATTTTCAAATAGTCTCTCCTTAGGAAATATCCAGCCCAAATTCTGCAGACACAAACAATGTAGATAATTTTTTTGAAATGTATTTGGAACTTGGAGGTATGTGAACTGGGCAGGAACTCTAAACTAATACTCCATTCATCTAAATCTTTTGCAGTTCTTCCATCACTAACTATTACCACCATAAACTCTTGAGTAAAAAAGCAAATCTCTGCAGAATTCCATTTTGATTCCTTCATTACTTTGCAATTCTTTCCTTCTGGCTACATCTAAATACAAGCCTTTTTAAATACATCAGAGACAACCTAAAGTAATGTTCAATGTCCCTTACATCCTGGAGTCTGTTTCCAGTATCATAATTTGGTTTCTCCAAGATACAGATAATTCCCAGGTTTTCCACCCCATCTCATGCCTCTCCCCATACAGCTTACTTGAGGTCAAAACAATATACACATTCTGCCTTGGCAGGAGCTCGGAGAACCTTTC